AAATTCATCATCGTCTTTAGCGATGTTCATCCTGATTTTAGAATATAGTCTCGAACGTAATTCAATAATCTAAGTAAATTTTAAAACAGATAAATGACAGATAACCTAAACAAAGCAAAATAATTTTTGACATTGCTCATGGCATCGACAATATATTATTAAAAAAGACATGGTCCAATCTCTAGACATAATATGGCGTCTTTTATTTTAGATCTATGATTGGTAGATTTCTCTAGGAAATCTTACCACTAAATATTCTGACAACCAATCGGATCATTCAAAGCAGTTTTCCTAATCTATCTGTTAAGTTATCTCTCTATCTAATTATTTTTTCATGGATTCAAGTTATGATACGTAATAAAAATGTTTGACTGTGATTGGTCGGTTTGCGTTAACGGCTTTATAGCTACGACTTTTTCACACATGTATGGCCTTTCATCCATACGCTTCGTCCAATGGTCCAACTCCAGCCTAGCCGCCCAGCCTTTCTTTAGTCTTGGAGTTGAAAGAACTTAAAAGAAATCAAAATTACAAGACTGTGTGATTGATAGAAAGATATCTCGCGAGTTTTAAATCTTGTAAATGTTAATTTGGTATTCATCTTGAGTTACAACATACAACCGAAGATTTGTGACGTCAATCGAAACAATGTAACGACTGCTTGGGTTAATTCGCCATATTACATCTTATCTGTGAACGAAAAGAAGAAATTGTTTCGATCACAATGTCCTTAACAACGTAAGCGAGAATGTTATTTTTTTATATTATTTTTTTCAATCATTTCATCAACAGATTTTTCGCACAGTTTTAAATATTGAAAAATTTTTCATTTCTTCATATTATTTTGCATGAATAATCTAGAAAAAAAAATTTCTAAGTTAAGTATATAAACTTGTAGAATACACTTGTCTCCTCTGTTACAATAACAGTTTCTTCTTTTTTTTTTTACAATTAGTTTGTTGCCTGCTCCCACTCAGCTGTGGGACAAAGATGATGAAGCACGTGAGCAAAAATTGCGCCAAAGACCTGTCTCTGCGCTTGTTAAAGCCGTTGTTACAGCTCCACCATATGGGCAGCGGAGAGGATGGGTGCCGCGCAACCCAGAAGTGAGCATTTATTCCAATTTGTCAAAGAATTTCAAGAAGAAATATTTGTTTTATAATATCAATATAATTTATTAGTATTTTTCTATTTGATTAAATCAAAGATGTAATAACAAATGATACTTTCAATCTTTTAAAGTATAATGCTATATATGTTATGCATAGGATTTTGGAGACGGGGGAGCATTCCCAGAGATTCATGTTGCACAGTATCCACTGGGAATGGGAATGAAAGGCAAGGAAATCACAAGCAATGCGTTGGCAGTACAACTTGATGCTCATGGAAAAGTAAAATATGATCTCATAGCGAGACAAGGCCACAGTAAGGACAAAGTAAGCTTTAATCTTTTTTATTATATTTAGAATATATTACTTTTTTTTATACTTAAATCTGTTACTATCTCTATTACTTAATTTTTTTTATAGATTGTGTATAGTAAATTGAGCGATTTGTTACCATCTGAAATTACAAACGAGGAAGACCCTACATTACAAAGACCAGCCACTGATGAGATCGACGATCTCACGGATAAAACGAAAAAGGCATTAGAAAAAATTACAAGATCAAAAATCGCGGCCGCCATGCCAGTGAGATGTGCGGAAAAACAAGCTCCAGCGCAATATATAAGATATACACCCTCACAACAAGGTCAGTCATTTAACTCGGGAGCCAAGCAAAGGGTTATACGCATGGTAGAAGCCCAAGTGGATCCAATGGAACCACCAAAGTTTAAGTAAGTAGAGTAAGAATAAGATGATAATCATGAAAATTCTATAAAGTATTAATGAACAACAGATATAAAAACCCAATGTATTAATATAAAAATTTATGATTACACAGGATTAATAAAAAAATTCCACGAGGACCTCCTTCACCTCCAGCTCCTGTAATGCATTCCCCAACAAGAAAAGTAACAGTAAAAGAACAAAAGGAATGGAAAATTCCACCATGCATCAGCAATTGGAAAAATGCAAAGGTACTTAGAAAAATTTTATGCCCAATATACTTCAATACATATGAAAGAGATAATATTTATATATAATAAGAAATGCATACTTGATTTCTTTGATTAAGTTGTTTTTGATTTTAGGGTTATACAATTCCTTTGGATAAACGTCTTGCTGCAGATGGTAGAGGTTTGCAGCAAGTACACATTAACGAAAACTTTGCAAAATTAGCTGAAGCTCTTTATATTGCCGATAGAAAAGCCCGACAAGCTGTGGAAATGCGGGCGCAATTGGAGAAAAAATTGGCTCAAAAGGAGAAGGAGAAGAAGGAGGATCACCTGAGGCAGCTCGCCCAAAAGGCCCGAGAAGAGCGCGCCGGCTTAAAATCTAGTGCAACATTAGGTTTGTATTGCCATCTGATCTCTGATGAGTGTAAAAATAAAGAATATTTCTGCAAACCTAAAATCTATTACGAGATTGCGATAAAGATATAAATTAAGATGTTGAAACACTTTTTACAGATAAGGCTGAAGAATCACGCGAAAGGGACCAACTCAGGCAGGAACGTCACAAGAACCGCGCTCGAGAACGTAATTTAGCTCGCGCTGCTCCCGACAAACGCTCTCGTTTACAACGCGAACGCGAACGCGATATTAGCGAGCAGATTGCACTTGGTTTGCCCGCAAAGAGCATTCCAAATACGGCAGAAGCACAGTTCGATCAACGTCTCTTTAATAGCAGCAAGGGATTAGATAGCGGCTATGGCCACGAGGACGAGTATAATGTTTACGATAAACCGTGGAAGGACGGCAATTCGATTGCCTCGCATATTTACCGTCCGAGCAAGAATATTGATAAAGATACTTATGGAGACGACCTAGAAAAATTGATTAAAACAAACAGGTCAGAGTTTATATTTTTATTTTCGTTTGTATATATATAGAGCGCATAACATTTTAGTAAATTTTATTTTATATGATAATAATATATTTAAACTTGTGTGTATATATATTTGGTGTAATTTGGTTTGTAAATGTAAAATTATCAAATTGATTTTTCCTTTTAGATTCGTTCCCGACAAAGAATTCAGTGGAACCGACAGGACTGCCACGCGATCAGGACCAGTACAATTTGAGAAGGAGGAAGAAGATCCTTTCGGTTTGGATCAGTTTTTGAAACAGGCCAAACGCGCCAGTAGCTCAACAACGACAAAGCGCAAAGAAGAACGCGAACCACGTAGGGACGACCGTGAAAAACGAAGAAAGCATTAACCCTTCAGTTATCGGAACAATGAATGGCATTACATTAAAAATATATTTTTGATGTATTTTTTTTAAATTTGTTTTATTAAATTAAGAAAGATTCTGTTTCGGATTTTAGTAATAGAGTAAAAGATATGTTTAATAATAATAAAAACTAGTATGATATAATACTGTAATAATAAACAATATTGTAATAATAAAAAATACATGTTATTTTGATTTAGCAATAACAAAATGCTGAAATTTTACTTGATTAAGAGATGATAGAACTTCCGAAATTATCTGATTAATTGTTTTTATTATTGTAATAATATACAACATTTTTGGAATTTTGTACTGAAATATTATAAAAACCATGGCAATATTTATTAAAGATACAAATCTTTGAGCGTACATAATATAAATTATTCTAAATTCTTACAAATTTTTTTGTAAAACATAATATTTTACAAAGCATGTGCACGAATCAAATTTGAAACAAATATAACTCACTTTTTTTAGATATCTATCATAAAAATGTTATTATATATATTTCTTTGTAATAAAATAAAATTTATATGAAAGATATGAGATAATGTAGTTGTGTATGAAAATTTGAATCTCTGTCTGCAATTCCATTCTATTTTCGTTACTTGCTTCAGAGAAAAGCAGACACGTTTGGCATTTTAATAAGCAAGCTTGAACAACTTAAAGCAGAGCTGCACGAGAAATGTTACAGCTTGTTTTATGACTGAAGAGAAGTTTTATGGATTTCATCGCGGAGAAAACTAGCGTGTAATACGTTTCATGTTTTAATCAGCAGTTAATTATTTTTACTATATTATAATCAATTAAACTTTTGAGGAATATAATAAATGCCATTAAATATATAGAACATAGAAGAATTTACTTTGATCATTAATTAATATCGAAAATAAATCAATCTTTTTATTGTCTTTTTTTCTTTTTGAGTATTAACATTTAAATCTCGCAGATTATACAAATTTGATTTCTGAATACATTGTAATAAATTCATTCGTTACATCATATAAAATTGTCGTGCAACAATATTATTATAAGCGAGCGATCAATGAACAGTTTATAAATCTTTGATACGAACTTTCATGCTAAAATTGATGTTGATTACTCGTGTAGATACGACTCGCTTTCGAAATTAAATGAAAGACAATCCAAAGTATATAATCAAAAGAATGAGTAGAAGAATGTATTGATGTCTCGAAATTAAAAAAAGAAAAACGCGTTTTTTTATTTATAATTATTTATAATTAAGAATATATGTATTAATTAATGAATTAAAATATCTCAGAAAGTAATTGTTGCTATACAAATATAATAGTAAAAATATGAACGCTAATATGTCCATCTTAATTTTTTCAGGTCGCTTCCATGGTTTTGCCAATATTATTCCTGATAAGACAGTAAATGTGCGAAGTAATGGAATATTGTTATCTTTCCACGGTTTATCGTTATGCACATGTCGTGATAATAGAAGATTCCCGTAATTGCTATCAATGCCCTCAAAGCGCAGTTCGATCAGCGTCTCTTTATATAATAATAACAAGGGCATATCGTTCCACATTAATTAACAATTAATATTTTCCCTCCGCTCGTGGAAGCAGAGGAAAACGGTCTTCCTTACAGAATGTCGCCATTCGGTTGTAAAAGCGAGAAACAGATTCGCACCAAACTTGGAATGTCGATCAAAAGTTGTTGGATGTTGGTCGATTTGGCCAACCGCTAATCGGTAGCACAAGCCCAGTGTTTCGAGCTGTTAACTCGAACTGTACATTCGAGTGCCGGCACTTTGAATCGCCGTTTGATCGCGAGATGGACATGTCACGGCTGAAGAGAGATACGCGGCTGACCCGCATCGGCTTTTTCTACTGCATCGTCGGCGTCAAATCGGCCCAATAAATGTAAAGAAGACGAAAAGGCACGTATCACTTTTCTGAAAATCGAAATCTAGTTATTTTATCTCTTTTCATTAAAGATTTTTTTATATATTATTAAATATTAAATATTATTGAAAAAAGATATCAAAATTAACATATTTCTTAAATCAATATCCATATTCTTAATATTAAGTGCTGTATTTTATCGGAACTGATACGAACTTGGTCCGTTTATTGTTAATTAATTTACTCATTCGTAAAAGGTTGTAATTATACATATATATACTAACAAGTTTGTAAGTCGGTTTTTATCGAGAGTTTTCAAAGCTCGTACATTTTTTTCTGTGATTTTTTTGCAGCGAATTATATAATTTGAACAACATAGTTTTCGAATTAGCAGAGTATCTAATTTGATTATTTACATGTTTATATATTTCTAAATTTGTTTCGAAATGTTTTTATCTTTTTACCATGATTTTTATTATATTTTTATATCTTAATAAATATGTCAGTAAAGATTAATTTTTCAGACTTCTTAAAAACCTCCATTTGTCCAAAGAATAGAAAAAAAAATTGAGAAATTATAAAAACTATCATATGATCTAATAGCAAGTATAGTATATAGTAAAAAAACTCTATAAATATAATTTAAAGAAATTTCTATAAATATAAATTATCATTTTAGACTTTCAGCAGAAAATTAGAAATAGTACATAGGTTTCGATGATATATCTTTTCTCTATTTTCTTCATCGCTATTTAAAAAATAACACAAAATGTGATAATCATAAAAATTCTATTTTTGCGTAAAAAATAAAATTTAAGTAACGATTTTTAACAAACAATAAAATAATTTTTGAATCGCAACTATTGCATGTAAACAGTACATTATATTTTATACGAGAAAAAATTGAAATTACATTTATTTTTGTTTATTCCTCTGCGGGAGTTTTATGATAAATTTTAACATGCCGAAGTAATGAGTTTTGGATATAAATAAAAAAAAAACTACGAGTTTCCGGCGATGGCGTAAACCTACCGGTATTTTTAGTAAGCGTTTCCGACGGCTAACATTTCGCATATATACCCGGCGGTGGAAAAACACCGCACCGCATCGTCTCAGTGTGTAAGTTTTCTCTTCAAATACTTCATCCCTGATTTCATTACTTAATATTCATTTATGAGGGAGAAAGATAAGCATGCCTTACTCTCGTTTACGTGAAACAAATTTTTCCCCAACAAAAACCTGGCACTTTCGTGCTATTTCGTGCCACAGATTAAATTATTATCCGCATTATAATCTACGCACAACAGAAGGGGTTTAATCCGCACGCGTATACATACGCAAGTGGAAGAAAACTTTCGAGAACAAGCCCGGAAATTGCGAATCGATTTCGTAAATCGCGAAATACGGAACAGTGTGCGATGTATTTCGCGCAAAATTTGCGACGCGAAGAGTGTCCAACGTGTTCGATTTCGATCGGTTTGCTCTTGAGAGGCAAGTGACATCCGTTGATTTTTCTGCGATCCCATAGCATCCAGACATGACTATCGAGTGGATTTTACACGTACATTCCCGTTTTGTTGCTCAAATACCGCGGACTACTACTGTACATTACGGTATACACGATGGTATTAAGCCAACTCAAAATTTTCCGAGTAAATACAATTCGAGAGCGCGCACATTAAACTGAGTAACGGAGCTTTAATCCTAGCACGCATGACCTATTTCGCGTTACGTAAATGCAAATGAAAGTAGTCTGCGATCCTCGAAATAGTGCCTCTAAAAATTTGATGCACTACACGTTTTAAAATTTTTCTCACATTGCAAATAAATATATGTATTTTTATATATTTCTCTCACGCATTTCTCGAAAGTACGCGAGTGATGGTAAGATAATTTAGAAACATCTCGATATGTACGAAAGGGAGAGCTTGATTCTTTTGTAATTTAACAATTTTGTGATTTCCCAGACGAAAGAGATCTCAAAGATTTTGGGGTCTCTCTCTTAAATATAATAATTGTTATGGGGTGTTCTTATTATAACGATGTATAAAATAGAGGAAATTAAGCGCAGTATTGCAAAAAATATCAAAAATGTTTCTACAAAAATTGCATGACAATTTTCGTGTCTGCAAAACAAAAATTTACAAATCTTATGCACAAAAGTTGCGTTTAGATAATTTTATCCGTGTCATACTTTCATCTCGTTTCAGAAGAGAGTAATATTTTCAATAAAAAATATAATTTAACATGTCAAAATTTTCCCCACGAATGCGTTCAAATTTTCCTGAATATATTCATAAAAATAATTTAATAAGAATTAATAAGAATTAATAAGAATAGTTTTTTTTTTTTTCATGAGTATCAACTGAATTTACTTTTAAGCGTCTATATTTTACGATCTCCACTCTTTTGCGGGTATAAAATAAAGATTAAAATATCTATTTTAATTTGTGAAACGTTAAGATACCAACTGTTAATCCAGTTAATCCAGAATTATTATTTTTAAGTTAACGTGTCGAGGATGTACCTAATTATATATTTGCGACGTATTCGTCTTCACGGATTATCCGCGTGTTACGACGGTCGAACAGATCGTCGGAGACCGAGATCGAAAGAAAAAAAAAAAATAATGCGGGACATCTATTTTTCAGAACGGATAAAGAGGATTTTCGCCACCACTCGCACTTGGCGCGACCCAATTACCGCATTTCCCAATTAGATCGGAAAACGAAAAGCGGATTCGCAGGCGAGCTTCTCTCTTTCGCTCCCGGTATGTTGGCAGCTAGAAAGAGGGAGAGAGAAAGGGAAGGAAGGGAACACGTATCGCGGTTATTTATAAGTTCGGCGCGAGGGTCGGCGTTTAACCTTGCCCGACGTGGACCGTCAGGCATGTCACCTATCCGTTTTATTGCGACTGTGTTTTGTGTATGTGTGTGCTCCCCGAAATGCGCTTCCAATTGGGTCAGGTCCACGTCTGCTTTTCGGAGCGCGTTCCGCGAGCTGCCACTGACAGAACGAAGCTCTGACGGTGGATTAAACTCGCGCCTCTCTCCCTCTTTCTCTAGTTCTGCCTTCGCGACGGGATAATACGCTGGTAATAATTTATTGCGACGCTTTAAATCCGAGCCCGAGCTCTCGCACAAGGGACTATGTTTTGCGCTTCAGAATGAATGGCGATCATCGTGAATGGTGCTTGAAAAGAAAGAATTTAACGTACAATTTTATAATACTTTTATTGTTTCAGAAAACTGATAATGTGCTGATACGAATAATTGAATGCCAGATAGAAAGAAGTCTATATACGTGTAACTTTTAAAAAATATATGTTAGATTATTCAAATTGTTAAATTTTTCTTGTTTAAATAAAATTTTCGGACCATTGTTCATATAACATTTCTTTTATCCATACAACATACTGGTAAAGTTTGATTGTTCAACTTTGGGACACGCTGTATATTACATATCAGTTTTCTAGAAAGAAAATTGGAAAACTTCTTTCTCGAGATGGGAGGAGTATAATATCGAAGTGCCAATTGCGACTATCTTGATTAATAGAAATCATCTCGAAAGTACATACAGTTCTATTTACAACTTTACGACTTTATTTGATAAACTTCTTATATCAACATAATGTTAAAACTTTTTTCTCTTCCTTTTTATTTAATATATCTTATATCAATCTTTTGCATTCTCTATTCTTATATATTTGTTATATATATATATGAATATAAGAAAAGGTGTCGCAAATTATCTTAAGCATTAATTTTTTATTTTTTACTCTGACATCTGCATTGTCGGAAGATTCTCGATTCGAATAATTTATGTATTAGACACGAGCCATTCCTAATAGTAGAATGAAACTACTTGCAAGTTTAATTGTGCGCTAACTTTCGCGTTGCAATGCTCTCAGACCCATCGAGACGCAATTGCATCAGAAGATCGTAATTGCCACTTCCTTGCATTGTCTCTCTCAGTGACTATCAATCGTACGATTTGATATGCTTAGGAGTTGAATTTTTATGGCATATCAATCGATGGACATTTTTAAAAATCGATTCTACGCCCAACAGAGAGTGTTTTTACGTAAACGATTATGAAATCGTAAGCGATCTACAAATATTGCTTTAATTTAGAAGAATTTTAAAAAGGAAATAGTCCATCTTTGTGCAATCTATAGGTTTCAAGATTGAACGATCGGATTACGATTGGCAAATGCATTCTTCAGCTACCAAAATGATTGAAATCAATCTACAGAATTATGCATTCTCATATCTTTTTCCTTGTTCTCTCTAGAAAAGAATTTCTTCTCGTAAACTTTGCTTGATAGATTCCCATTTATTCTAATAAATCTCGTTCAAATTTTCTCTCTCTTTTTTTTTTTGATAACATTTATCACGTATACTCTGACATCTGCATTGTCGGAAGATTCTCGATTCGAATAATTTATGTATTAGACACGAGCCATTCCTAATAGTAGAATGAAACTACTTGCAAGTTTAATTGTGCGCTAACTTTCGCGTTGCAATGCTCTCAGACCCATCGAGACGCAATTGCATCAGAAGATCGTAATTGCCACTTCCTTGCATTGTCTCTCTCAGTGACTATCAATCGTACGATTTGATATGCTTAGGAGTTGAATTTTTATGGCATATCAATCGATGGACATTTTTAAAAATCGATTCTACGCCCAACAGAGAGTGTTTTTACGTAAACGATTATGAAATCGTAAGCGATCTACAAATATTGCTTTAATTTAGAAGAATTTTAAAAAGGAAATAGTCCATCTTTGTGCAATCTATAGGTTTCAAGATTGAACGATCGGATTACGATTGGCAAATGCATTCTTCAGCTACCAAAATGATTGAAATCAATCTACAGAATTATGCATTCTCATATCTTTTTCCTTGTTCTCTCTAGAAAAGAATTTCTTCTCGTAAACTTTGCTTGATAGATTCCCATTTATTCTAATAAATCTCGTTCAAATTTTCTCTCTCTTTTTTTTTTTTGATAACATTTATCACGTATTATACTTGCTAGATTAAAAATTATGACATCAATTTGTGTATAAAGATTTATGATATTTTATATACGAGGCGATATACACACATATAAGTCCATCTTACGCTCACATAATACATGTGCGGAAAACATCGCCATTTGCGGGGGTAATTGCTTTTTCTTTTTGAGTTTACGACGAACATGCGCTACGACGCAATCCGTTGGTGATAAAACAACAAGGGCGAAAAGGGATTTATACAACAACATTGATTAATTTCTGTTCTAGCGAAGCTCGTGTAACGACTCCGAAACGACGAATAGCGGGAAGCGCGAACGCGCTCCCCGTCGTGCCATTTGTCGTTTAATGATAACGAACGCGTTGCACTAATGAAACATTGTTCGCGAAACAAAAACACCGTGAAATCTCGAACATCGAGAATGAGATGAGTCGTTCGCTGGAGCGAACGAAGGAATATGAGTGCCGCAAGTTGCGTGGAAAAAGAGAGAATGCAAAGTGTAACGACGATATTTCACTCCTCAGTTTCTGTTTTCCTCTGCGAGTAAGAAACGCGATAACGAATGCGCGCCTTATATTGCTCCGAAATCTTGGCGAAACAAATGCGAGAAAAGATAACAACAACGTGTTTGGAATAGAATGAATCTTCTATGGAAAAAAAAAAGTCGACGATATGGGAATTTTTCAGAGAAAGTTTATTTTGATTTTTTGATTGGTGTACTGAAATCTATGATTTTTGAATAACGTAGATGAATCTCTCTTTATCAACTTCTTGCTTTTTATATTAGCTTCATGATTATGTCACGACTCACAGATCAAACATCAAAGAGATATATCAGAATACCGTCGAAATATGAAGAATATTTTTCTCTTTTCTCAGCTATTTCAATAGACTCTAAAGTGTGAAAACCTTCACATAAAAGCAGTACGATTCAGAGTATATAACAAGCAGAGAGAAAGAAAGACTCAACATAGCAGTTATGCAATATTGCATCCGAAGTGCATCGTTGACGATAAATTTCATAATTACGTAATCTCGGAACGAGCAGAGTCACAATGAGATGGAATCGAGATGCTCGGTTTTCTCGGTCAGGAGTCACCGCGAATATCTCGCCGGCACCGGCAACGAGACCGCCGCGTCGCGTCGGTCAGCATCAGCGGACAGTATCTGGACCCGCGTTCTCGGTTCTCCCGTCTCTGTCTCCGGTACAACGCGCTCATCATCAGGACCACGCCCTCGGCGAAGAACCGACGCCGACGCCGTCGTCCCTTCCTCCCCTCTCGAGATCGCGTCCGATCCCGCCGCCGCTCGTCCTCTCTCTCTCCCCCCCTTACCATCTCTCGCTCTATGTCTCTGTTACTCTACGAGCGACCCACCTCGCGTCCCACCCGCCGCCAGCCAGCCAGCCTGACGGCCCCCCAGGATCTCCTCGTCAGAGCGACTCGACTCGTCGTCGACGGTGACTCGCGTGTCGTCCCGCGCCAGTCCGCCACCGACCTCGCGATCGTCCACGTCGTCGTCATCGTCGTCGTCGTCGTCGCCGCCCGTCGTCGTGTCGTGTTGTCGCTGGTAGTGGTGGTGATGGATGAGTGATCAGTGCACGCGTGAGAAAGAGAGAGAGAGAGAGAGAGAGAGAGAGAAAGATAGCCGGAAACCGCGCACGCACGCAACGCATAGTAACAGTCGTTGATTCGAGGGTGATCCAGGTGAGCCTGTGATCGATCGATCGATCGTTAGTCCGGTAATCCGGGCTGATCGAGGCGCGCGAGATCGCGTCACGTTGTTTTCCCAACAAGAGTGGTCTTCGGGGGGTTGTTGCTCGAATGACATTGGGGTGCGATCGGGATACCTTTGCGGCGCGTGGTGCACGCTGCTGATCAAGGAAAAAGAAGAAGAGGAAAAGTCAGGACCGTTCTCCCAAGACACCGGGCATCCCGGAAGGACCGTACGTAGGAGACGCGGGGAGGATTCGCGGTGATTTGTCAAATTCGCAGGCAGACGCGTCATATGGTACGTTACAGCCACCCGGTGTGTTACGTATATGTGTCATAGTAGACGCGTGTTTCCGGTCGCGTAGAGACGAATTAGAGGTACGATAGGAGAGATGAGTAGTAGTGCGGACCGGAGCAAGTGTCAAAGCTTTGTTTGGGTTAGTGTAAACGAGGGGAATGCTGGCGACTAGAAATGCCGAACGTGACTAGTCGGGTTCGCGGTTTTCAGCCAAGTCACGTTCCCGCATTTAACTCTTAACGATGTATGCGGAAGATGTATGATTATGTTTCTATATGTAAAGTACACCAAGAACCTCCAGGCGAGCGATAAAACCGGGTATAAGTTGAACTCGCGCGATTTTCGCACACAAATCTAAAAGAAAATTTCTTTATCTTACTTCAGTATTTTATATATAATTCTCTATGAAGCACTAGATCATCAGGAGCTGCTAGTATCATAATAGATTTTGAAAAGTAACGATGAAGAAACGCGTTTGAAAGAAACGCAATGTATTTCACATTATAAAATAAAATACATTAACAATTATTGCGAATAAATCAATATGTGAAAAAATAGTGACACACAATGATAGCAAAAGTATAAAAAATTTAAAAGTATAGAAAACTTCTTCATACATTTTAAAAGAGAGAACAGATTTTTATAATAATATTATTAATCTAAATAAGAGAATAGATTTTATAATATTAATCTAAATTATTATGCAATTCATAATTTACAAAAAAAATTAGGGTGAACATCCTCGGTTAAATTAAAAAAAAAAAAAAATACTTTATAATTTTTTATCCTACAGTTATTTCTGTTTGAAGCAACGGGAAAGGCGAATTTGCGATGAGCTCTCGCATGTCGTAAATTTCGAGGATATAATTTGTTACGTTCGCATTCCTCTCTTCTCCTCCTTCTGTCTTACTATTGGATAGGAAATATACGCGACGCGTTTACGCGTTGTTTTCGATGATGTAACTGCGTGGCGGCAACGATGACGACGAGACGGCGGCTCGCAAAAGCGCAAGACTCGGCATGGCGCCGAGCGGAATGTTCTCAATGTTCTCATATATATATATAGGGCATGTTTTCGAGCGGGAAATCTTCTAATTAAAATTGCGTAATTACGAAGGAAGGGAGAGTAACAGTGACGTCGACGCGATAACTTTCTTGGCGGTAGCGAGTGCTCGGGAAGTGGTAACAGATCGCGCCCGGTCAGACATCGGATCGCGGATAAACGAGACGACGAAAGATTTTAAAGCTAGTGGATTAACGTTGACTAAATCGTTAATCGTGTTTCGTCATCTGTAAACTGTACTTCAGGAAGAGTTGGAGTTAGTTAAAATCGTATATGGATGTGATTAATTTATTAATTCTTTTAAGCTTGATTTATTAATTCGGTCTTTATTAATGGATTTTCGACCGATTCTCCGTTTCGTTCTCGATCAATCTTGAGTTATTTTAATTCTCGTGTAACAGGAGATATATAACAAAGGAAAATTAATTATAACCATTATGTTGCCTGATATTATATATGTCATCTTAGCATCTTAGTCTCGTATAATTTTCTGCGTCAAACACAAAAATAATTTACAGAAATCAAAATTACTACAAATGTTTTATTGGTTTCTGTACTAAAAATTTGTCGGATTTATCTCTCAGTGTGCCAAAACGACGGAAATTTATTTTCCATCGTGTTTTTTCTCTCGTTGGAGCCGAAAATTATGCCCGATGAAATTATAACGCTTTCGAACGCTGACACGTGACGCGAAGATCTCTCACGCTGACATTTATCAAGTCGAGTCAGAGGTATCATACCACTGGGCAATTTCCATATAATTCCAGACATTCATAGACAATGTGCATTTTCTCCTTTTCGAGTATCATTAGACAGCGTTATGAATTAATTCGAAATATTTCGTGGTTTTGAATAAGTAAAATTAGAAACACAGAATTTTGTATTGTTTGTCAATTATATATAAATTGGCTCAATTAATAATATTTTTGCGCTCAGTTCTATTACAAAGATTACCGTCGTAAAGATAATTGCAACTTTCGAGAGATATTTATTAAAGTACCAACAATTGATCGCGATGCGTTTGATGTACAATCTCTCTGCCAGATATTACGAGATATCATAATTTTCTCTCGTTCGAGAAAACCGCGAGAAATAATTCCTTAACAAAATATTGTTTCCGGAATGAGAGATATCTCTTTCCTTTACAAGTCGATATATGTGCGGTGAAAAATGCAACGGATCACGTTTTTACGAAATGTCCTCTCGCCAAAATCTCGTCGACATCAATCTCTCGACGTTGACACGTATAAAAGTGCAACGGTTCCGATGCTAGTATGCCATCGCGCAAACGTCTACTTATATCGAACGTAACAGAGTTTCGCGCGACTCTTTTCTTCTTTTTTTTTTTTTTGAATCAGAAATTTTTCAGTAAATAGAAAATTGAAATATTTCGTTGAAAAAGATTTATCGAAGGGTTAGAAAATTATATTTCTATATCGTTGAAAATTTTAAAGATTTTAAACCAATAATTTTGCGATGAGTTGGAAATATACAACCAAAGATAAGAAGAATTAAAGTTTACATTCTAATGAACTCTTCAGTGAAAATGGAACTTTCACATTCGAAGATATATTATTTTCTAGTGTCTATTATTTTTGTTAATTTATTATGAGATTGAAATGCAGAAAACATGCCTTTTACGTTTATCGCGCGGGCATATGATTTAAGTATGGCAAGTGGACGGCTTGTAAAAATAATGACGCATAGTCTATGCATATCGGAAAATTCGAGATATTCGCGTCTAGTGGACCTCGTAGCGTTGGCAGTATTTTCTGCTGATCTACCGTGTGAAATACTGGACTCGTAATTTATTTCTAACTGCCAAATTCCATTCGCGATCGCTTCCAATAATATATATCATATAAAATTATGATATAGAAATCACGTAACATATTATGTGCTATAAAAAAAGATATATAATTATAAATTTCATGTATAATAAAAAATATTATAAATATAAAAGAATTTATTAAATCTATTGCAAATTGCGTTCTTCAAATATCTAAGAGGTACTCGTTTTTCGCATAAAGATCTGCAAATTTCAAAATTTGAGAACTTCTCCATCTTAAAAGCGACTTTGATATTCAGAAGTAGAAAAGAAATTCGAATATAGTATGTTACATACATGAGTGTTTGCGGCGGTAAGTGTCGCGTTAATTGTCGACCTCACCGCAAAATCTTTCATTTAATATGTTCGGGCAAATCATTTTAAAACAAGATACCTACAGAAATGAAGGTGATAAAGTGAAATAATTGATTCTGTTCTATGGTCTTAGTATTGATAATCGATTGATAGTCGATCTAATTATAACAACTTATAGACGTAACTTTATATCTTTTGCGATAATAATTTTTATAGTAAATGATCGATCATCGCTAATGACAGTTGTAAATGTTGTTAATTCTTGTACTAACAAAGGAGATAATGAACGATTAATATCGCGTCGTAAATGATATGGCATCAGTAAAGGAACATAGACATATGATTAGCGGCTTCAACGTCTTGAGGGACTCGAATATTCGAATGTCAGAGTTTATCCCGACGATAAATGAGCATCTGACAATTGGCGAGTATGTTTATTCGGGAAAGATATTCGCCGTCGTAAATTTATCACTTTATTTACACGCATGAGCGGCTACATTTGCCGATGAATGCGAGCTCCAAGCGAAAGAAATACTCCGGATATATATGTGCGAATGGATAGAGTAGAACAGGAGTAGAGAGGGCACAATATCACGTTCAATGTATCGCCCGATTTTTCGCAGGGGGTGACTGCCTTCTTACAACGGCGAGTGGAGCGGGGGAGGAAGTGGTGGAAGGAAAGAATCGGTCGGTTAAAAATGCCAGTTATTTGCGCGTCCTTATATTTATGCCCGCCTTATATATCTCGCAAGGGGCACTCTCGCAAGATTTATCGTCGGCTTTCGTTTCGCGACTGATGCTGATATATGTACGCTAAAACATTAATTCTTCGCCCAATTCTTATCTCCCACCCTCCATCCCCCCACTCGCCAACTCGTTGTGCGCCGAATTATTTTCGGCGAAGTTGCGGGCACCCGTGTGGATTCACACGCGACTTAAATTATTAGGCCGAGTAATCTGAGATGCTTGAACGATTATACGAGTCGGAGGGCGATTTATATACGCGTGGAGAGAAATAACGATAAGAGAAAACATCGCTTCTGATCGATCACCGTAAAAATTTTCGAGATAGGGAAGAGGATTTATAAATAATTGAAATCCTATAATCATGTCGCGAGTTTTATTTTCTCCGTGGATCATTTCCGTAATTTTCTAAATGTTTGCTTTATTTAATGGTGATTATCGTGAGAAGCACGTTGAATGCGATGCACTGTATACCATGTAAAATTACGATACTAAATTGCATAATTAACGAAATGGTATTAAATTACTCGCCGCGTTGCCTGTTACACGTGTCCGATTATATTATGTACGCAAATTTACCAAGCAACAGAGTTTATTGTATGGAATATAGAGCTTAAGTGGATAAAATTATAAAAGACGTTATTAACGAAAAAACAAAATAAAATATTATATAAATATTTCTGTGTAATTAAATCAACTCTTGTATAATTATTCAACGAGTTGAAGATTTGGAAATTTATTTTTGCGATAACGTCATCGATTTTTACATGAGTCAGCTCCTTTATTACCCTAAATAATATATTTAAAGCGATCGCATGTCTCGATAAAGAAAAAATAAGAATGCCTTTCGAATTACCGGTACTATGTATACGAATATAGATCTACAGAGTGGCTTAAATATATGTATATATACAAATTCCACACAATCATCGATTCTATACTCGCACGCGTTCCTACAAACATAAATCCGACGACTATTCAGTCGACGACGGGCATTAAGAGCGGCCAACCAGCCTGAGAGGGCTGTAATTCTCCGGTTTAAACGTTTAC